GAGAGATCGAAAAAATCCTGGTGGTTTCTGAAAGTAGAAATCTTTACGATTAAAATGATGTATTGGTTTACGCAAAAATTTGGAAATTCCTTCTATTTAATGAATAAAACTTCATTTGCCTCGATTCCCTCCTCTGAGCGAGACAAAGCGCGCGGATTGACCACGGTCCACCACTTCTCCATGTTGGTGACTGCCATCATTGATGAGCATTAAATTATGTGAAAGACATGATAGTTAATATGGGGGGTCGTACCGATACCCCCGAAAAGGAAGGGGGTCGTAAAAATTTTGGAATTTGCGCAACGCAGGGTTGACCCTGTGGGATGGAGCGTCCCCTTCGGAGCCGTCACATGTTCTCTGGCAACATTTAGTGTAGTTCCTTTCTAATATGAAGTCACAGAACATGTGTGGCCTCCGACTTTTTGGTTAGTCATTGTTGAGAAGATCGAACGAGAAATCAAACTGTTTCGAAAAAATGCTGTGAAAACGAGGAATGACTCATTTCTATTGCTAACAAATAAATATTTTGGATCTGCATGTACCTGTGCATATTCCTGAAAGACATCAGGAGGATATAGCGCAAATCGTTCATATTCTGACGGATAAAAAGCAACATCCATACATATGTGGGGCGCACTTGGAATATGCCCAGAGAGATACTGCTGCTTTGACCTAAAAATTTAATAATTTGGCAATAGTGAAGCCTCAATGGAGCTGCACATTGCTTAATAATTAACAACATTGTCTAATGTTGATCCTACAAATTACGAATATTAGGCTCTGCAGAAAGCGCTATAATGGAACATTCGAAGAGCCGACCAGGGAAAGGCAAACCTTTACCATTCATTGCTGCCAAAGTCTCGACCCTTGGCAAAGACAACTACAGGATAGAAACTGCAGTTTGGCGATATGTGTCCGCTATCTGCTGTGGTAGATAACAAGAGCGATCAAAATACGGGACATAACCCCCTAGAAGGCCTATGAATTTCGTGCGTTAAGTGGATGTTTGGACACGACGAGTCAATGTTTATAAATTGCATTACTTCTCAAAGATCAGTCCCTCCAGTAGCGCCATATAAGTGCAAGCGCGAAACGGTAGAATGTTTCGGAGAAGAGCATCAGAAGAAGGAATTTCGCGAAAAAGGGTTTGCCAGAATCACAACTCCAACTTCCTCTTAGTTACCCTAAATTGAACGTTCGCCGAGTAGAGGGTCAATGAATCGTGACATGTTTCTCTGTGGACGTACGATGCACCAGAACAATTTATCTCAAGCCGCCGATTTCATAAAACCTATCGAATCGTTAGGTTGTCTAATACTCTTTGGTATTCCTCATCCGAATTTTGACACTTTACTTAATTCATGTTTTATCTCTCCTAACAATAAGAAACAACCATTAATAATGTAGCCTCCATTATGGTCAGATGTATATATCTTTTGCCAGGTGGGAGGCCTCCATAAGAGGAGTATAGCTGGGAGTTGAGAATTCGGAGAAACCGTTTTCAAAAAATTCGTCTTCTTGCAGCTGCTTTTTTAGGGCGACATGGAGGCGATATTTCGATATATCACTGCTAGTGCCATACGGTCGATGCAGTATCGTGCATCATGCCCACTTCTTTCTGAAGCCGGCGAGTTTTCTCTGCTGT